TAGAAGCAGATAGCTAATCGCCAGGCCGCCGGAACTGAGGAAAGCGGAGCAACTCAATGCAGTCAAAGCAAGCTCCAATGAAGGCTGGGAATGCCTTGCTTCGATCGCCAGACCCTCGGAAGAAAACAAAACTTCACCGTGGCACTGTAGAACACTGAAGTCTGTTTCATGCCATCTAGAACAGTGATGATCAACGGGCACGACTTCGAAAGAGGAGACAATCCGAGAAGGCGCATACTCGGATGTATCGAGGATCTGATACTACTTGCGAGGAGGCTTGGAAAAGGACCTTCTCCGAAGCAACCTAGCCTATCTGAACCTTTGAGAAGCCGAGATGTATCGATTTCTTCGCTGATGACCCGTGCAGCATAATCGAACGCGGGTCGTCCTGGAGCCGAGGAATGCATAGACAGAGGGCCACCCTCTGGCCTGTACGACGTCCATTCGGGCGGCTGAATGGATCCGCCAAAAGGGAGTGGAGCATCGTAGGGCCGGTGCGCTGGGCTAGTCCCTCTGTTGCACGTTAGATGTGGCGTCCTTAGACACACGACCAAGTACAGTGTACATGACACCAAGCCTGGAAGTCGCGACACGACCCCGACTATCCGCGAACAAGGGTGTCGTACCGCCTGCTCGCCTTCCAAGCACCCCAAATTTGGTGGCTTTTGCGCCGCAACAGGGGCCACCGCGCGTGGCAGACCACCAATCACACACTGCCTAGCAAGCCCGATTCAACTCAATCATGTGGTTGTTTGCCAACGATACGCAAACCTCTGTCAGGTCACCTTCCCTGCCCTCCGGGCGGAACAAGCCTGCCAGGATCCGGCGGATTCTCTACAGCCCATGTGTAATTCACCTTCCCAGATCAGCTACCTCTTTTGTGCAGCTCCGCTTGAGGTGACCTGTCGAGTGTCGCTGCAGCGGGAAACACGCGAAACCACTGCCTGTCTTGGAGAGTGCTTGATCCCGGGAAGCTTCTCCCCTTCCTTATCCCTACGTTAACCGCACTATGTAATGAACACCGCTGGGTGACTACGGACGCCAGAACGCATGGAAGTGGATCGATAGCTTTGGGAGGGTGTCAGGGCATCGTGAAGTTGACAAGCGATCGTTCCCTGTTCCGAGGCCTGGCCTAAGGCCCCCCTTCAGGCCACTCCTAGTGACTCGTCGTCGGTGTATACGGAGGAGTCATGTCGTGATCATCGCTGGGAACGTGATAATGCGGCGAACTTCAAAAATATCCCAAGCTTGACGCCTCTAACCTCCGACCATTCATTAAGTTGTTCTTCAAGCTAGCAAGGTCTCTGAGAGCTCGTTGCAGCATCTTCGTTCGTTGTGTGAGAGCTCCTCAGACCTGAACCGTCCTTAGAGGGTCTCCATAAGCGGCCGCTGGGATACTTAGTCCAGGCCTGATCTGGCTGTTCTTGACCAGTTGCGGGACATCCGGTGATTTGAAACGCAAGCCTCTCAGCCAGGCCAACAAGGAATGTGGGCGGTTGAATTGGGCGTCAGTCCCAGCAGGCAGTGCTCCCAGGATGATTCCTGCTCCGAGAGACCATGAAAAGGCCGCTCTAGACTCTGCCAGATGACTCGACGAAAGGGGTGGATTCGCAAGACTTGGCGAGAACGATCTGCGCGCCAAGCTGGTAAGACTGTGAGTTGCCTTATCAACCCTGACTCTGCAATTAATTCGAAAGCTGGAGAGCCTGGATCCGCATCTGGTACAATGGAGGCCGCCGCCCTCGGGACTCACGAATGCCCTGTGGTGCGAGATGTATTATCCTGCTAACTTAAGGGATGATAGAGTCGAATGGACTTTCGGGGTGCAGAGTCCGAATGAAAACACCGATTAAGTTGTATCAGTCGAATCGAAGCCCGCTCTGCCAGCGAAGCAATCATTCAATAAGGTCCTGTCACAACTAGTCTACTCTAGCTAGATATCACCGCTCAATCTCGGTAAGGTAGGTAGACCATGCCGTCACAGATCCCCCGCAAAAGGTCAAGCATCGCACAAAAATGGTTCCTGACGACGGTTTTAGCCCGTCCGTCCACTCGCGATGAAAGCTCTGAACTCCCCGGTAGATCTGTACCACAAGATGAGACAGACTGCCCGGATGGCACAAATCTTGCAAAGCCTGAAGGCTACCTCGCGAGTCACCTTGTGTGCTTCGCCAAATGACTCCCGATAGCCTTCGTAAGCCCGAGAAAATTGCTCTTCTGCTAGGTTGAGTGCGCGCCACTCGCCGCTCCGGACCCTCGATGCGTAGTGATCCCCGAGAGTTGTGCAGAACAGCAGTGTAGCAGCATCGTTCATGCCATACTGCGCTGCGGACGTTTCCACAACTTCTCTCAACTCTTTCTCTGCCGCCTCAAGCGCTTCTTCTTCGACTTCAAGCAAGTTAAGCGAGGCAAGGTTGGCTTTGATACTAAAAACCTGTCGATGGTCTGATGATTGCTGCTGTTCCATGATGCGTAGCGCATGAAGGAAGTGTTCTTTCGAGAGATCGTTACGAAGCATTCCCCTGTATACGTAACCGAGAATGTTGTGCGCGTTCGCGACCACCAGCGAGTCGGCTTGTCCGGATTTCAGAATCTCATTGAACAGAGCCTCCGCAGAGCGCCAGTCCATCTCATCTGTCAGACTTAGACCCAGGATGATGGCGGTGTCCAACACCGAGGGGCCCTTGGCGGTGGATCTCGCGAGCTGGCCCCTCAAAATCATGATACAGGTGACTTTTGCATGATGGTGAAGGCCAAGATCGCGAAATCTGGCTGCCAAGTCGCGAAACATCGGTCTTTCATCGGGTCCATCAACTGCGAGAAGGCCGGCTGCTTTGGCCGTACGTTCCACAGTGGTTTGCGAATCAAGAAACGCCTGATTGAAGTGCTGGCTAGTTTGAGCAGTTTGTTAGCGAAGTATGAACATAAAGTGACTTCGTTCATTGCTTACGCAAAGAAGTTCCAAAGGACCTGTTTACAATCCTCGGTGGAGGGAAATGACTTCAATATGTCTTCCATCACTTTGGAAGCCAGGAAATGAAACAAGGACTATATTGGTTGGCCGGACGAAGAAACGTAGGTAACGTGGGTATTTATGTATCAAAGACAGGCCGATTCAGTCACTTTGCCAGCGGTCCGGTGGCCCAAGCCGGGATATGTCTCCGGGTGATTGATACGCAACCACGCCGGCTGCAAATCTTTCGACCCCGTTGCACGTTCATTCGAAACAAGGCTGGTCGATGACCTCCTTGGCATGCAGTATTTCCATTGTCATGGCAGATACATGTCTGTAAATGGTGGACTAATTTAAAGTTCGTTTCCAGGCATCTCACGATGTGGTCCTTCCACATGCCCATATGCCTGAATAATCCTAGCGCCACTGACTCATCAATTGAGGCAACCACATGTTGTCCAGACTGAGCTGCGTCGGTCTCAAACCCAACGGCACAGGTATCTCTCGCCTAGGTGAAGTCTATACCAGGGCCTAAGTAAATAGCGTTAAGCGGTGAGCACGACCTTCACTGGGATGAGTCAGTTTTGTTTGGGGGGGGGGGGGGGAGAGAAACCTTTACTATGGTAGTCATCTTGATCCTAAGCAAAGGCTGAACTGGTCACTCGCGGCTCGCCTAGTGATGATAGGTGTTGCGTGCGTCCGCCTGTGCTGGCATGGAACCGCCTCCCGCCGACGTCGTACCATTGACGACACGGGTTGAATGCTCACCCCCGCCCTGGGCACCGATGGAAGATCAGTTCTGGAGCCTAACAAGTTATGGCAAAAAGACTTTGAGTGTTCTGGGTGGCGGCAGGTGCACTCAGGGCTTCCGGATGTATCAGTAAAACGGAATGTAGTATCGAAAACCCAGTGTGCCAGGGTGCATCGTTAGGCTGCATGTCGAGTGGGGCACCCTTCTGCACGCCACGAGGTACAGAGAACACGGAGCCTGGAAGTCGCGACGCACCCCCGACCCTTTGTGGGCGAGGGTGTCGATATCGCCTGCTCACCTGCCAAGCAACCCAAATTGGGTGGCTATTGCGTCGCAACAGGGGCCGCGCGTGGTAGAGCACCAACAACACACTGGAGAGCAAACCCGAACCAACCCAATCATGCGGTTGTTTGCCAACAACGCGCAAACCCCTGACAGTTACCTTGTTTGCCCCCTGGCCAGAACAAGCCAGCGGCGGCTCCCACAGCCCAGGGTTGATAGCTGTCTATTCCAGCTTTGATTGACCTACTGAGTATTCCCGCGGCGGGAAACAAACGAAACTGCTGCTTGTGTTGGAAAGTACTCCATCCTGGGAAGCTCACTCTTGTTCCCCATCCCTGTATCCATAGTGATATATAATGGAGGCTGGGACCCATACAAAAGCGTAGTAGTTCTTAATGAAAGTTATTAAGGCTCCATAAAGTCAACAAGGGGCCGTTTCCTGCTCTCTGATCTAGTACAGGAACATTTTTCTGAGCTATGTCTGGCGAATTTTCGTCTGAGTAATCTAGGCAGGTGTTATATTGTGAATACTGTCAGTAACGTAACATTGCGTGTGGATATAGAACACTCAAATTCGCCTTGCTCTCCAACTTCGTCTTAAGTCGAGCTGGCAAGGTCTCTAACTACTCTTCAGCAATATTAGTATTAACAAGACTCTCTCAGACTAAAGCTTTGCCAAGAAGGATCTCCACGAACGGACGTTCGGATACGTTGTCTAGGACTATCCTGGCTGTTGTTGACCAGCCGCAGGACATCTGGCGCCTTAGTAATCAGGGCACTCGGCCAGAACAGCAGAGAAAGTATATAGTAAGTAACGCTAGCGCCAGGCACGGTGGGCAGTACGCCCAGAACGTGCTCTATGCAATAATTAAATCATGATATGGCCGCTCAACTCTTGTCACATAGCCCTGGCCCCACGGAAAATCTAGAAGCTAAAGAGCCTGATCTGCACTTAGGTAGCCAGTCATCCTCCCTCGTAGGCAGTCAACTCGCCCCACCATTTGGTAGCTGCGTCGCTCATAACGGATGTAGCAGCTAACCACTCCGAATGTAGTCAATTGATGAAGCGAGTCAATGAACCCCCGAGTGAAAAACAATTCCTTCTATTCTACGCTTGGATGGCAGTCGTGCAACCGAGTACGTCTCCAAGCTGCCCATATTCTGGCCATTCCTGTAGGAGAAGGTCTGACTCGAGGATTTACAGGGTCATGTTCATCCTCAAGGTGAACGGCAACGAACAGGCTGTCAGTTCAACTCAGAAAAGACTGTCGATCCTCTCTCCCACTCAGATCGAAATGGTGACGCGGCAGCGGGGACGGACTACTAGTGGCATCCGCTGAACCTGGCCGGCCATGGACCATCTAGCATACGCCATTGGCTCGCATGGCAAGTCAGGAGCTGGGCCTTAGCGATCGATAGGCCCCCTCCTCCCTGAGCTTCATCCCGAAACGAAGACCAACCGAAGTCGTCTTCGACACGCCGTAAAGTGTGCCATTCGTTGTATCTCCGCGCGGCTGCCTAGTTAGCACGATGCATTAGGGTCACGGTAAAACGGTGTTCATCGGCTCGTGCACCACAAATTCAGTCCGATCGGCTGCGCCTTGTGTTCCATCCCTCGCCCAAGGCGTCCACGAGGGTACCCAACGTATAAAGACTTCGCTGCCGCCTCCGCTGCAGAAGCTCTGGTCTCTCGAGAGACGAAGTGCCAGATCATAACGAACAGCGTTATCAACAGAGTTAGGTCTCACCTCTCGAAGATTTCGTCATTTTGCACGACCCGCCATTTACACAACTCAGCCCAGCACTGCGTTTCCGTGAAGTAGACAACAACCTATTTACTAGCCTAAGGTAGCTGACCAACTGACTGCCTTGTCCGTAGCGTTAGCTTCCGCACAATGAACGATCGACGTGTTACGAGGTCTGTAAGGGAAGCCCTGCTTGAATATTGGATGTCGGGCGGGTACCTGCGTCAATTCGACCACCTGAAGCGCAACCGGATCCGAAAGCCGCCTGCAATCATCCATGAAGTCTCTTCCGAGACGGGAGACGAAAAGAAACGAATTACAGCGACGCCGCATTTCAACACGTCTCAGGTGCCTTCCCCGTTCAGTATGCTTAACAACACAATCGTCACATATAGCGAGCCCGAGACTACGCCTATCAGCGAAGTCCAAGCTATTCATTGTAAGCTTGTGGAAGCTGAGAACCAGTGCAACATGACCATCGTAACTCAATTTTCCAAAACGGACCCAATGCTCAGTCATGAGCAATGGGAGGCCATTGTCGCACGTCATTATATGCTTCTGTGTGAGTACTATGACTTCTTGTCCACCACTCAGGACTACTCTGCCAGTCCAAAATTGCGTGGGCTTGCGAGCAAGCATGCAATCCCAGCGCGCTTATGGGAGAAGGGGATACGTTCCTTATTGGATCGACTACATGGCTGTTTGCCTGAATCACACGACCATATGTGTACCTTCATCGACTTGGCGTGTTCCATCATGGACCTGCTAAACCAAACGGTACCGGCCTTTGAATCTACTTGGATTGAACACCTTGGTGATCTGGGTGCATACCGGTGAGTAACATGGCTTCTGCGGCGTCGCCACCTGCTGATGACTCCAGGACCGCTATGGAAGACGATCACTTCGAGGACCGCGAAGCCTGGACGTCAACCACACGTCAATGGTACTCCGAGGCCAGTCATAGGTCTCCCTCGATCGGCCGTCTTTATCACAGATTAGCAACCTGTGCGGAACCGAACATTCTCGAGCAGCTCTTCTTCTACACAAAGTCTCTCTGTGTACGAGTTCCGTTCCTAGACGCTCGGGATTCCCTTGCGGTGTTCTTCAAACAGAACATGGACGAGGTCTCCGGAACGTCCGTGGTAAGCACAAATTCGTACGGCTTCAATGAGACTCCTGACATCAAGCTGACGAACGAGGTGGCCGTATCTCTTGACCCGAGTCGCGTAGATGACGGAACCGAGAAACTTGACCACCTGGAGTCCGAGGGCATGATACATTTGGCCTTGGCAGTCGATCTAGAGGATTCCGACATGGTGATGATTGATATCATGGTTCCCGACGCGGACGAGCTCGGTTGTATGGAGCAAGAGTCTCCAGTCGCCATCGCCGTACCTCTCCACGACGAGGAGGTGACCGGAGCTATGGATATCACCACTGTCTTCGTACGCGCCCACGGTCTTCTGTTCTCTGAGAAGGACCACAATCAGTCCATTGCCCAGTCGAAAATCTTGACTGAACACCTCGCTACATCTGCTTGCCAGTGGACGGAGGATGGGTACCACATATCGATCGTCCTGAATTGCGCTCTGCTTGAGTACGGTAGCGAGAGCAACCCGATCATGAGGATCATCAAACAAGGACGTGGAGACGAAGGAGACATGGCAGTCAGCGACACCCCAAACTTCGACGAGAGGCAAACCGTTCCAACTCAAAGACTTAACGACGCGCTTGAGTTTATTTCCCGTGCCCATAGAGCTGTGTTTGGCCTCACTGGCGATGAGATGGCGTACCCCTACTTGCATGTCACCCTGGTGTTCTTGCACCACATGTCACAGTTCCCCGACGCGATGGCCTATATCGAGGAGAAGATGCCCTGGAAGAGGATCTCCTTATGTCTTAATAGCGCCATGAAATCATGTTCATC